GAGAGGGGGGTGGGGACGGGGAGGGGGACATGGATGTAGGTATGGGGGAGACAGTCTCTGCAGCAACCACTGCCTGCCCCTCGGCTGTGAAGACAACAATGGTGCCAGGTTGGGAAGACTGGGGCTGGGAGTAGCTGTAGGTGCCCTCTATAAGGGCGTGTGCAGTGCTGATTGGGTACGCGTTTGTGGCAACTGTAGCTGCTAAGGTAGAAGATGCAACGGTAACAATGGTCGTGCCAGCTATGCCTGTTGACGGGATGACCTGACCAGTGGTGGTGTACAGCATGGGTGCTGCTGTGGTCGGGTAGGGTGCTACAACAGTACTCGGGTACGGAGCCACTGTGCTTGGGAATGATGCCGGAACAAGGGCAGAGCCGGTTGCAGCAGGCACGCCTGTGTACCCTGTTTCTGCATATGAAGCCTGGTGTCTGCTTTCCTGGATGGCTTCAGGATAGCCAGTTACAGGGTAGGGTGCGGGAACTGCAGGAATAATCCCCCCGCCCGCTTGCCTCTGGATGGCTTCAGCAGCAGCCTGGTTAGGTACGACTTGCGTCATTGAGGTTGTGTGTGTTGCAGAGACTACAGCACTTCCCCCACTGCTCGCAGCTCTGGCGTTTACGTCTACCACCTTGTCTGATATAGGTACGCCCTGGCTTGGCATGGCTGCCTGGATAGGCATACTGGTACCAGAGGATGCGTATTGGACTGCTGTGTGATATGGCTTAACGTTAGCCCCCATTTGAGGCAGAGGTGCAGTGGGCAGAGGTGCGTTTGCAACATTGGGTTGTGCGGGATATGGATAACGCACTGGAGGGTACTGCTCCGGAGGGAAGGTACCATGTCTGTCGGGTACGTTCATGGAAGACATAGGGATGGCCTCTTCTCCGCTGTCTGTGTATTGCTGCATGAGGGCGTTGAAGCTTGCTAACATGCGGTTGACTGCCTGGGAGGGTTCAGGGGGAGCGGGGACTGATGCATCAGCCTGCTGGATGGACAGGACTGTTGTTGTTGACGAGGGAAACACGTCTGTTACGATAGAGCGAGGGAAGGGTGGTCGTGGGCCAATTCTTGTTCCAGCATGTTCCGCACTTTCCTCTCCCATTGTGAAGGGAGTTGGTATGGCTCCTGTTGGAATTGCAGCTTTCCTATGAACTTGTTGACCGACTAGTTCCTCCTCTATCCGTAACAGTTCATTATAATTGTACCTGTACAGCTCTTCTTCAGTTGGCCTGTGTGTTACAGGCCCAGTTTCCCTCGTAACACTTCTTCCCAGTTCTCCCCCAGTTTTTCCACATGATTGACACATCATGGTTCTGACTTTCTCCAGATCTATTGTCTTTTTACCCATTCTCTTTCTCTCATTCATGAGAGCCTCTATGTCCTTCATTAGCAAGTCAGTCTGTGCCTCAGAGTGAAGATTCTTTCTGGGCCTTTCAAGTGTCCTGTTCCCACCATCGTCCGTTCCCAGGGCCAACGTGTTTTCAATTTGCCATCGAATTTCCCGTACGCCCTGGGCGAGTAGCATGTCAGCCTGGTACCGTCTTTCTAATAATGTGGCCTTTTGTACGAGCCTGTCTAGTGTGTCCCAAACGACATCACTGAAGGAGTCTGTAGGGTCCAGTTGTAGAAGGTTGACCAGAATGTTGAGGAATGAGGAAGCCTGAGGACTGTAGGAAACCTGACAAAAAAAGATGTCAAGAGAAACCATTCTTAATTATCATCCAAATACTAAAGAAAAAAACAGGAATGTAAAATGAAGAACCCTTGAATTGTTCTGCACAATTTTAAAATAATTTTGGGGTGAATTTTCTCATAAAGAAATGTTTGCACTTATCTAGATATGTTGGACCCATACATTATCTAACTGTACACTACAGCTGCCAAGATTGTCCAACCTTCTTAAAGATTGCATAGAAGACATCAATGTGAGATCCCAGGTCTATCTCCTCTGGATTGGACAGTTCTTCCTCATCACTGAGTTTTTGCTCATCAAAGACTTCACATTGGATCAGCAGGTCTGGGTCGTCTCCACGCCTAGACACACAGTCAGGAGGACAAGCATACTAGTATTAGTTATTAAACATAACATATTCTGTGCACCACTAATAATTGGGAAACGAAAGCAATCTCAATCCAGTTTTAGCTGACTGAAGAGCTAATCAACTGGCCGTGACAGAAGACAGATGCTATGTACAGATTCATTACCTCCATGAAATGTGTCATGGAGGTTATATTTTCAGTTGCGTTTATCTGTCCGTCCGTCTGTTGGTCAACAAGATAACTCAAGAACGCCTGGATGGAATGGTTTCATACTTGGTGTGTTGGTAGGGTGTGACGAAAACTGGAAATGATTAGATTTTGGTCCCCCTAGTGGCTTCCCTTGGTACTGCAGTACTGCAGTGCTGCAGTGCAACTTCCGGTTTTGATATCTCGCGATCTGGACATGCTAGGGTCATGAAATTTGGATGATAGGTAGCTCTCGTGCTTGGGAAGAAGTCACATGAGGCCCCCTAGCGGCTTGTTCTGGAACTGCAGGATGGTTTCTTTAAAAATATTCGAGAGAGGATAACTGAACAACTGTTTGATGGATCGTCGTGATTTTTGGTATGTAGGTAGCTGAAATGATGCTTGACATGATTAAAATACAATTATGCAAATCAGGATCTAATTTTCATAATTAATGAGGGAATTCTATAAATCTGCTGTATTCCATATTAGGGCTATGAAACACTTTAGACATATGTAATTGAGAACAACAAGATCATTGGTAGATATTGATTATGTAAATGAAGACCTAATTTGCATAATTAATGGAAAATTGCTTTACGAAAGCACTAAACATGTCATGGAGGTATGAGATTGTCGAACTCTAGTTTTTTCTGCTTTACATTCCCCTAGCTCTTTTTGTCAACCACAAAATGAACAGTAGACCACAGGACTGCGACCCTTTCCAGTAGCATAGATGTCATTTGAGTGACAACAGCCTGGATTTGAACAGGAGGTTTTTTGTTCATAGTGTATAGTGTTTTAGTCTTAGGGAACATACCTGAGATCTGTCATGATGTCAAGGAGCTGAAGCCCTGGAAGATAATGTTAACAATCATTCAATTAGTGAAATTAGTATTGTGAATACTTAGGTTTGGTACATCTCAAATATAATTTACATAATGACTAGTGTTGCTGTTAAAGTTACTGAAAAAAAGCAGTTCACAAGGGTAAGCTAGTGATTGCTTGCATTTCTACAGACAAGAAAAATATAAAGGTCATTGACTTTGGCACTTGATGCCCTTGAAAATTTGAAACACAGGACTTACAGAGATTGGCAAATCCCCAGTTCTTGGCTGCCTACTTCAGGGCAGAACAGAAGTCTCAAAGACTACTTGAAGACTCACCGCTTTATCTGAACCTCTATGCACCACTTAAAACCCTGTGCAAGTGTAATTCTAGGCTAATCAAATGGGTCCCAAGAAGGCAAGTTAAAACTTGAAGATTGATTCTCATCATGTAGGGCTTGATCCCCAGGATTACCAATAAACTCATTGCGGATGCGGATCCTGTCCTCCAGATCTTCAGTGGCCACGATGATACAGTTGATGAAGGCCATGAGGGTAGACTTGTAAGTTGTCACGTCTGCAAAGCGTAGCTCGTTGATGATGAGGCTGAAGCGGTACCGCTGGTTCTTGGCAAGCTGCAGTCAGACATTCATAAACATTGTTTTAGACACTAGATTCCAACACTGAGTAAAGAGACTCTTTTTACACAACCAAGTGTTTCATTCATTCATTTTGACCGGATCACATTGCTATGCAGCACAGGTGTCTCTGCTGTAGATGCATGAAACGTCGGCTGTGAATAAGATACTTGGTTGTGCAAAAAGAATCTCTTTACTCAGTGACTTACCAACCTGATGAAACTATTCACATAGTGCAAATAGTGCTGACAAAATGAAAAAGTTTTACTTCTGCTTACTATGAACAATAGGCTTGGATTGTTGTCAAGGGTTTTATGTTTAAATAATGTTATGAGAGACTGCCCATGGATATTAGCCTGGATAGTAAAGGGTCATCCAATACACTAAGAACTCTGGCTATGGCAGTTCAAAGGAAAGCAACATTTCACAGCCAATTGCACAGTAGGCCTTCTTTACCTTAGAAATGGCTCCAGAAATAGGCTAGTGCTCTTTCATTACAATTTTGCTGATGCATCAGAAGGAACTTATTGGCAAGAATGTTTGACTCAACAGATCCCAGCTGCCATCAATATCTGACCTCCCTTTGTGCCACACCCCAGAAACATCTTTGAAGCAGGCCTTCACGAGCGGATGTAAATTGGCAGGCTTTCCTGTATGGAGGCTGCTGTTTTAAAGTCCATTCTTTACTCTGCTAATGCCCAAATGTATCTTCATATGGGACTGTGTTCAAGGCCCACTTGCTTGGCCAAATGAGTAGTGGGGATTGTAAAAATAATCAAGCCATCCATTCAAGATGCTCTCTGTGTAATAACAATTTCATTATCAGCACCAAGGAGAGAGCCACCCTTTGAAGACGTGGTGTGCTTAAAATGACTTGATTCAATGAACAGCTATTTGAAATCACCATTTTCACTGTTTTATGTTATATGAGAAGATAATAAGATAAATTTTTTGATGAAATGGCTATGGTTTGAGCAATAGAACAAGATAGATTGAATTTGGCAACTTTGGTTGTTATTGCAGCACAAGTGATAAGTGCAGGCTATTTGCACATCTATCACGTAGGACAGGTATTGATTTGGGAAACCCTTATCTATATACTGCATAACACGTCACACGGTCATTACTCTTCTGTGCTCTTGTTTTGGAACAATTACTTCTGTTACAAGTGGACCAGACTATCAAAATCAACAACCTTATCAAGCATCTACTGTGCACTAAAACAATACAACACAACTCTATAATCTGTTGCTGACACTCTAAAAAAAAGGTGTCTGTATCTGTATCTGTATAGCTGGTGAAACCGCCCTTAGGCGTTGACCCATTACAAATAAAATACAAAACAATATCTAGGACTTACAATAAAATTCTAAGGACAGTAAAATTTTGAGAGGAATATGAATTTCACATGATATTAGCCACAGCAACATTGGTCTACTGATACGAAATGGAATACATGTATGTACCTCAATTCATGCTAAATTTTAGGAAACGGCAGAATGAAAAGGTGGCAAATTTCCCATAGGAAATTCCTTCATCTCTGATGGTGGAATGCTTCATACCCTTGGGATATTCCGGCATGCAAAGTTTCCACAAATATTCCAGTATATATGTGAACGGAATTTTTAAGAAGAGAAGTACTCGCTTCATGCATAGACCTGCCATTGTCAATAACTCAAGGTGCTTCAAGGTTGGAAATGCTCATGTGCATCAGTGCGAGGGAAGTGTTTTCATATATTATTCATATACTTCTCACAGGTATACAAGTGCCAAGAATAATATATCAGTATGCATTACATACTCCTATACACACCACTAATCACAAGATAACACATCAGAAAAGTTCACACAATTAAAACATTAACAATCGGTAATGTCAAATGATCATATCTATATAAGGATGTTTAGCTTCAAACCCTATCTATGGGCACCATGCCTTAATACTGTGTACCAAATACATGATTGCATATTCATAATTCATAGCAAATTTCAACTAAACCCTGCTTGAAGTAGACCAAGGTCTTGGATGCCACAGCAGTGGATACAATGATTAATGTAGAGTGAACATACTGGTTACTTAGGTCAATCTTAAAGCTTTGTAAGAAACAAAACATGAAGGAAGGGGGTGGGTGGGTGAGGGAGAGATTATGTGACATTTTTTGCTACAAAGATATGATAGATAGGGTGTTACCTTATAATTTTCCAGGGCATCAATTGCGAGCTCGTATCCCTCCAGTGAGTAGACACAGATGGCAGAGAGCAGCTCAAAGACTTGTTTCTTCACCATCGTGTTCTCTGTGTCCAAGGCTGTGGAAAAATGGATTTGTGTCAGCTGTCAATCACTCTACAATGTTTCCTTTCCTGCTGGAGTCATGTAGGCATTAATATTGACGATATTCATATAAACAATCATGGTGTGTTTAATCTCAGAGCAGTGCAAGAACATATCCAGGGGAAAATGTTGCAGATTAATCCCTTTCTTATGTGGATCATTAGGTTTATACTGCAACTTTGATAATTAACAAAATAAATCATACTATTTCCTGCTGAGTGAATATTCCACTTTTCTACTTTTCTGCTTATTTTGAATTTTTTCAGATACATGTAGATGCTCTATTATCAAATAGAGATTCTTGAAGTTCTCTGTTCCAACCAAAATGCAAAAAAAACATACAAGTCCAGTCTGAGATATACACAGACATTAAAGAATAACATTTATTACATAAGCCATATATAGATATTTTGGGTCAATGTTTAGCTGTGACTCTTTTCTGAACATAACAACTTCAGCTCATTTACATGTCCTTGTGGCAAAATGCACATCTTTATCACAAAGTGCATAGAAGGCAAATGTGATGTTAAGATAGGGGTTAGCTCAATTGGCACAGTTCATTTCAGTGCACTGTCAGCAGCCATCTTGTGAATTGATGCGTGTTATGATAAAGCATGGGTGCCTTACAGCATCATTACCATACTGTATGCATCAAAGGAACCATTTTTGGCACAGAACAACTGAATACAAAGATAAACCTTATCTTGCTGGACACAGTATGCTCAATGCCTACAGTAGTTATCATCACATATAGGTGTGGAACATTAAACATAGGTCCCAAGTTAACAATACATTATCCTTCCTAAGGTGGGTGGTTGAAAGAGAGTATGATTGGGGGCAAGCAAACCCCACATGAGCCCACACAGATGTAACTGACACCATTCAAGTCCTTATACAATGGTGGGCTTGAATGTGGTGGGTTTAGATGCAGTTCTCTCAAAATTCAAGAATTGTACTATTTACCGTGGTCAAGGTCATTGATGGCAATATTCCGTTGAATCTGCTAATTACCAAATAAATAAAAAGAACAAAATAAGAGGTACTCATGCTAGCTTTAACTAAACAAGGACAGCCACACCCTAAAAGCAAGAGTGGGATGCTATCACATCACAGATTATGTATGCAGAATAACTCAGTTGAGGTCTGTATACAAATGAACTATAAAAGCCAGTCTTTGTGAGTCAATTGAAGGGATATATTAAAACAAATGAAAATAACGTCATATGGAATCTCTACAATCCATTTGAGGAAACAACTACCCTTACACATAATAGGAAAGACCTACCCACTCCCACAACTGTTACAATCCTACAGAATTATTGGAAAATGCACTGCGACGAAATGTCAAGCAAGCTACTGGGTGGGGCCAGAACCATTAGCCATAAAAAATGTTTCCTACACAAATCGTCGTTCTCCTTTTACATAATTTGCCCAAATGAGCCATTCATCTGCAAATATTTTCTTACTCGATTATCACAATAGAAGATATTTCTGTTTCTATTTTATTTATTTTCACAAATGAATCCTTACGTGGAGTACGTATTCACTGGTTATGACGTTAATGCCCTGAAGACCTATAGATGCATAGGGCATGAAACAGTCTCAAATTGCACGACCCTGCTACTGATTTATTATCGTCATTAATGATTCCACATTATTTATCGTCTTCCTATGTTGGAAGCTGGATTCATAATAAATCAACATAGCCCTTTTGCCTTAGTGACCTCAATGGAAACAAAAGCCTATTTGTCACAAAACTTAAAGGTTACAATCTACATATACTTTGAGGTCTGCCAAAAATATGGACTTGATTCTAAAGGAAACCTGTGCATGGATATTGTTAATCACATTACTAATGAAGAGTTTTAAAATATTTTGTTAAGCCTGTTTATAATACACATTTTCCTGCAGTTTTGACACACCCAAAGTACGCAGTGAGGGAAGGACCTTATTTCTATGCATCAAGACCTGTTTTTGAATCTCATCAGATGTTTCTTGCCTAAATCGAATTGTTGTTACCATTACAATCACTTAAAGTCTAGTCTGCCAAGATTTGTTTGCCTTATAGAATGTAATTTCAAGGAGATGAGAAGATCTTAACATATATGGATATGATAAAATCCTATGATATCATTGTGGTTAATATGACCAAGGAGCCCTAAATAGGAAGGATCACATTTCTGTTATCCTTAATTACAGAAGACATTATCTATATCAATATCACACAGCCATGTATATTCTCTATTGAATACAGACCTCTAATATGAAATGAAATGACATGATAAGAACTGGGTGTCCCTTCGTGTCCTATGTGTGCTACAAGTTTGAAATAACCATCCCTGCTTCCTATGATGATAGGATCTCAGCGGAAGTATGGGGCAAGGGCAAGTATCATTCAGCATGCTTCATTATCTTTCATCCCTTCCACTGAGGTCCCCTGGGGCCTCTGATGATTGGACGTTGGCACTGCCGTGATTTGGGAGAGGTCACTTTGCCAGCTGAACTCCCCACTGGTGACAACATCTGAACCCAGCTGCAAACTAAATGATTATTATTCCTGTCTGTATATCCACCCCTGAAAATTGTTACCCATATATTGTAACTGTAATGGTAATTTTTAGTATTGCAATAGTTACGTACACAGGGACAAGATTTGCAAAACAGTCACGAAGTGAAATCGTGAAAATCAGGTAATGAAATATTCTCACATCAAGCTGTCAAAGATGATTTGATGTTTGAGTTGGAATAATGGATGACTGTTAATGCACTTTCCCCCTGTGACAGTGGACTATGCATGAAGTCCATGTGTTTATGTGCGAGCAAATAAAATCTGTTACGAATCGTGTGCCAAAAAGGTGTAATTACAGTGACATTCACAGGTAATTTGAGCCAGCCTATTGAAAAGCCACCTCTGCTGGTGATGTAGGGACTGGCTAATTAAGATAGATGAGTGGTGGAAAACATAGATGGTTAGGAATATAATATGAAATGCCCACCTTTGGCCAGTGTTCTGGTGAATTCCCTGTTTTCGATGATGTATTCCAGGCCTGTGCGGGAGTTCATCACCGCGCGAACACACCCGACACACTCCAGTTGGATGTAAGCGTTGGTAAAGCTGGAGAAGCCACGGTCGGACAGACGATCCAGACATTCAAACAAAACGCCCAGCCCATCCAGCTGCAGGAAGTCCTGCATCCACTCCGCGTCGCAGTGCTCCAGCTTCTTCTTCAACCCGGAGTAGTTCTGTACGGTCGGCGTACGCAGCAGACGGATGCATAGCTCGGGGTCGGCATTCTCCAGGTTGGAGAGGGAATCCCCGGTCGAACCCCCCGTGCTGCTCGGCCGGGGGCTTCCGGGGGAGGATCCAACGCCGGCGAAACATTTCGGCTGCTCAGACGGCAACCGTTAGAAAGCAACACACTTAATTAATCAGGGCTTAGAGACGCCGTTTCAGACAAACAGCACAAGCAATGGAGCAGCCTTAACGCCATTGTACCGCCCATTGTCTGTATTTACCTGGACTGCATCGCATAAAAAGGTGAGAAACACCACAGCCCATATGCGTTGTCCCATCATGCAGCTGCATTAAATATTAATGGCCTTCTGACAAAATGGGGAGATAATCAGGAGAGGGCCTCATGAATTATTCATGAGCTGCATGCCTGCGGAGATGCATTCACCCACCCGGCACTTCACGCCATTTTGTGTCATCAGACTACCTGACATAACAGCTCTGCCATTAGTAAGCAATTCATAACACATCCAATGTCAAACACTGCTGGTACATTGACATAAAGCTCCAAATTGACAGAATGTAGCAATAATGAATTCATTCCTTGTGATATTGTAGTGACACTGATCAGGGTAGACAAGCCCAAATAATCATTAGGGAAAAGTCATCAATTTCAGGGATAATTGTACTCGCCAAGTGAATTTACCGCATTGTTCCAAATATGTGGTTACAAAATATTTGTGCTGAAATTGAGCTGAATCATGTTGCTTCCTGTGCCATAGTATTCTATTAATGTGCTCAGATGGCATTATATAAACTGGGCTGACATTTAACATTTAAAAAAGTGCTTGGAACATTATTGAACCAAGATGAATGCTGAAATTCCGCAGGTGAATCTAAAATTCTCAATTTCATCTCATTTTTTTCCCTGTACTCTTGTTGAAAAGCATACACATAAGCAAGACTGTATTTAATGAGTATAATGCCCAATGTCCAAGTAAATATGGAAGCAGTCTATCCTTTTATTCAGTGCAATTTTCCCTCATATTTTGCACCATTTTCACTCATCTTGACGGACCGTAAGTTATGGAATGAAAAGGAAAAAGTTCAAGATATCATAAATAGTTTTTAGCTATTAGCAGAGAATGATTTAAAAAACTGTTTCTGTTCTAAAAGTTTTAAAACAGGAAAAACACATAGGCTCAATGAAATAGTTACCGCCCCCCCCCCCTCCGCCTTTGTCTCCCACTCACAACACATAAGAAAACCGATTCGGTCCGAATAAGCAAACATAAACAATAAAACTAAAACGTTATTGTTACCAGCATTTCTTGAGATGAAGTATGAGCGCAAAACAAGCAGTTTTCTGCATTTTCAGACGATCCTTATTGTCGTATTATGTTTAGTTGGAACTTGAACTGAAACTAGCAGACGATTCAGATCATCGCGTCGCCTTTACCCCTCGTATGTTACGTCAAATGGAGGAAATCAATTAATGTTTCTTAGTCTGATAACTTGGTTCTGTGTGTGTGTGCTTTTGTCTTCTGTTTGAATATTTTTTTTTTTGTTCTCTACAAAGAAGTTTTTCTGCCGTTTTAAAAGAACCGCCCCGTCTTTAACGTGAATTCATGTTCAAATGTTGACGTGAATTCATGTTCAGCACCAAGGACAGGTCTGGTGGTGCGAATACCGCGCGCCAGACACAGGTCTGACAGAATGTTACACATCGGTACTCGGTGCAGTAAAATTGTTAAATTGTAGGAGATGAATGTTTGTAGATGGAGCTAAAACTTCGTTATAATTCAACACATAACATTCAAAGTTTGTGTAAAGTAAGATGCTTCCAACTGGGCAACGACATGATGCGGAAGTACTCGGAACTGCACACATAATTCTGATAACGTGTTCTGCCAACGTACACGCGTAACGTTACACTGTACTTTGGCCCAATGTTTAATTTCGGCCTAATACTCAAAGTTTGTGCAATGTTCCAGTCACAGTTTCAGTCACAGTTAGCAGGACAAATGTAAGTCTGAATACGTATCTTGTTGATATCGGCATGGATCATTGTGTATATAATGCACGTCTGTTACAGCTTTGATAAGATAACGTTACATAATGCTAAATTAAATGTAAATGCAATGTGCAATTACGATAAATTGATTCACTATTTTTGGCAATATCATTCAGTAATACTTATCACAAAAATCCACACTACAAAGGTTTCATTCCTAAGTTATGCAGATATTCTTCACAGTAACATTTGCTTTTACATGGATCAACTCAAACAGCCATAATGTGTAAAGTTCTAATTTCACAACTTTCATGGTAAATATGATATTACAATTCTACCCGCAAGTCTCGGGTTTTTTTGACGTCTTTGAAAAGGTGATAGTTATGTCGATCCTTCCGCAAATGTGGTAAATGTTCATAAAGAAATTCTTCATACAAAGTTCAAGTGTTCTTCCTATGCATATATTACGCATGACACCATCAAAACATGGCCAATTTCAGTTAAATCGTTAAAACATAACGCTAGAAATTACATTGTATTTGTAACATGTGATTGTCATGCTTGGATTCAACACCTCTGAAATAATTTTTCACACCTTAAGAAAATCGTTACTTCAACCACGGCTACTTGAGTACAGTTCTCCAAGTAGTAAAACATGCTTAACAATGAAAAGTGAAAACAGCAATGAAGGAATAGATAAATAAATAGATAAATGATTAGCATTCTATTTGTAATTCATTCTGGAGTGTAATATATAAAGCCAAAGTGTGAGAACAAACTCATCCTTTTCCAACCGTTAAAATGTACTTTTAATTGCATTCAAATCTTGCCATACTTGGATTAGTAAAAATGTAGTAAAATTGTTCCACTTCATCTTCATTTTACTACCTTGCAATGAACGTCATCAGTACCTCTTTTGCCTGTTTCCTGGCACCTTGACCAATACAAATTTTGTACCGAAAGGCTGCTTTAGCCAATAGAAGGTTAATCAGGTGGAGCATGAAACCAATTCGGTTGAACGGAGTAGTACGTGTGACAAGAGTATAATTACAAATAAAGCATTACGACTACAGATCAGTTGTATGATTACGTTTAACTTATTACTATCAGAAAATACTGGTCTTTCAAAAAATGCAATAGCCACTGTCGTCCCAAGTCTCTCAGTGCTACATGTATTTGTTGTTATCATAAACATGTACAGGGTCTTCAATAAGGTGACGTACACTCACTATTACGTCACCCTGTCTTTGATCACTTGTTGGGTTTCTTTAGTTTACTCCGGTCACGTGAGCCTTGCACACAAAGGGATATTTCCTGTCGCATCGGGAGTCGTTCCATTTGCCGCCCTGCTTGAGGTGGAAAGTGTTACATAATTAAGTGTTACAAAGTTAACTAACGGTTCCTTCTATTAGTAGCTATTTCCAGAATGACAGTCATCATTTTCCTTACAATTGGAAAAACGTTAATTACTGAGGTATTGTGGACATCTTGATAGACTTACTGATGTAAGAAAAACAATAGCTTCCTTGTATACACCGACATGAGACAACGTTGAGTTTGAAAAATAAAGTCAGAATTTACTACATGGTGCAGACATAATATGTAATTTCCAGTTTGAACAAAGCGCTGTTTTCTTTCACACAGTCAAAACAAACATCTGTGAAACCAAATCACTCCATTTTGGTCATGGTTTATTCATATCAAATTGTAGTTCAAGTTCGTTCAACACCCTACTTCTGAAGAACGCCTGGGAATCTCCAATACAATACTTGTAGCATTATCAAACACTACATACATTAAAAGTTAAATAATTTTATTAGCTTCTCCTGTTGCTATAGAAAAGTGGAAAAGAACACAAACCTTATTGTACAGACCACCACAGTCTTCTCCAGTAACCCAGCTAAACCATGTCATGTAGTTGTCAGGCTGACCAGGGTCCCAGTTGGTGTAGGAAACACGTGTTCCATCAGCCCATTTCATTTTCTTGTGTACATCCGATAGTCCAACCCAGACCAATGTATTAGGAACTGCAATGAAAGACAAAAAACTGTTAAACCGACAGTTTATAGTTTAGTCATTTGTGTAACCTTTATGACCACGTATAGCTTTCATAATTGCATTTTTCCACGAACTTTTTCTATTCGCACGTTCGCATCAGTTTCGGGGTTCCCAGAGAATCTCCGGATGAACCATGTAATCAAATCAACATAGTCTTACATCGTGGCCGTTCGTCGTCCTCAGCATGCTGAGGTGAAGCATCTATTCTTCTAGCAGCATGACGCTCTATCTAGTAGCTATGGCCTTACAAAGATGTACAAAATGTATATTACCAACCTGTGGAGATGAGCGATTTAATGAAGTTGTTCTCTTTCTTGTCGTGGACAGACGCAAGATGTGCACCCATTCCTTTACAGATTTTATTCGCTGTATCCCACTTGACTGGTTTTCTCCTGAACATGTAGCAGTAGTCGTTGTATTTCTCCCACCCCGGAGGACACTGTAGGGCTGAGAGAAACGATGGTACAGTAGGACAAGGACAAAAACTTATAGCTGTTTTTTTTTTCAAGAAATCGGGAAGGATAAATATCAAATGTCATACAATGTTCACAGAAATGCAGCTACCCGTATCTAAATATGTCCCACCACAAATTTTGATATCTTTTACGTTGATGAAGGTTAGACATGTAGGTAAACAATATTCAAAGACAAATCCACCGATCTGCAAATCATCATGATCATACCAACTTAATTTGTAACACCAGGATTTACTCAAAAGTAAAAGAAAAGGAAGTCTTTGTACAATTTAAGAATAGGTTTGACTACAAAGAAACTGGTCACTTTGGTCACAGTGCTGTAGAATACAATACAATACAATACAACACGATACCATACCATACCATACCATACCATACATGTACCATACCATACCATACCATACCATACCATACCATACAATATAATATGGGAAGCTCACCTTGCTGGCAGTTCTGTCCAGTCCATCCAGGTGTGCAGGTACATTTGTATCCGCCATCTTTGTTCTTGCAGCATCCATGTTGACAAGGCTTCGTGGTGCATTCATCAATATCTGTGTGGTGAAACAGTATTTCAAGTAATGGAACTAATAATGAACCAAGAATTCCGAGATTTCATACCTCCATGAAATATGGGCTTAATATGTAAATGTAAATTTCTTCTTTAATTATGCAAATTACCTCTGCATTAACATGATATATGCATCACGATGTATGTTAACTTTTGATTAAGTTACAGATGTCCCAGGTATGACATTCCCATCATTCACCATTAAGAAATCATAGAATTTTTGCATAAATTATGCAAATTAGGTCATCATTTGCATAATTAGTATCTGTTGATGTTCTCCCTGCCATAGATCACATACATTACATGTATGAAAGTAGTATAATGTAAAACACTGTAATTATAGAATTTCCTCATTAGTTATGCAAATAAAGTCCTCATTTGCATAATTTGCATTTAGTCATGTACATCTCTCTCTCAGCTACCTACACACCAAAAATTATGAAAATATGTTGTTCCTATCTGGACTTATTGGCTTTTAAACATTTCGCCAGAAAGTGCCCTGCAGTTCCAGAACAAGCTGCTAGGGGGACCAAACTCACACCACTTATTCCTGACAGGATAAGCTATCTGTCACCAAAACATCAAGACCATAGCATGTTCAGGACAAAAGATACAAAAACGGGAAGTTCTGCTGCAGTACCAAGGTCATCCACCAGGAGGCCCATATTTGACCTTGACGTTTGTCTTCCTAAGACTTACCAACATACCAAATATCATCATAATCCATAAAGGCGTTCTGAAGTTATGCTGACCACAAAGTTGTGGAAACACAGACAGACACACAGACAGACAGACAGACATACATACAGACAGACACGCCAAAAACAATACCTCCATTTTTCATGGAGGTAATAATTAAAACCATGCTGTAGCTCAAAGACAGAATGTTTTCATACAATACAATACAACACAATACAATACAATACAGTGCAGTACAGTACAATACAATACAATACAATAGGGGAAGCTCACCTTCCTGACAGTTCTGTCCAGTCCATCCAGGTGAGCAGGTACATTTATATCCGCCATCTTTGTTCTTGCAGCGTCCATGTTGACAAGGCTTCACGGTGCATTCATCAATATCTGTGTGGTGAAACAGTATTTCAAGTCATGGAACTAATAATGAACTAATTAAAACCATGCTGTAGCTCAAAGACAGAATGTTTTCATACAATAAAATACAATACAATACAGTACAGTACAGTACAGCACAGTACAGCACAATACAATACAATAAATAAGGGGAAGCTCACCTTGCTGACAGTTCTGTCCAGTCCATCCAGGTGAGCAGGTACATTTGTATCCGCCATCTTTGTTCTTGCAGCGTCCATGTTGACAAGGCTTCGTGGTGCATTCATCAATATCTGTGTGGTGAAACAGTATTTCAAGTCATGGAACTAATAATGAACTAATTAAAACCATGCTGTAGCTCAAAGACAGAATGTTTTCATACAATACAATACAATATAATACAATACAGTACAGTACAGTACAGTACAGCACAGTACAGCACAATACAATACAATAAATTAGGGGAAGCTCACCTTGCTGGCAGTTCTGTCCAGTCCATCCAGGTGAGCAGGTACATTTGTATCCGCCATCTTTGTTCTTGCAGCGTCCATGTTGACAAGGCTTCGTGGTGCATTCATCAATATCTGTGTGGTGAAACAGTATTTCAAGTAATGGAACTAATAACGAACCAAGAATTCCGAGATTTCATACCTCCATGAAATATGGGCTTAATATGTAAATGTAAATTTCTTCTTTAATTATGCAAATTACCTCTGCATTAACATGATATATGCATCACGATGTATGTTAACTTTTGATTAAGTTACAGATGTCCCAGGTATGACATTCCCATCATTCACCATTAAGAAATCATAGAATTTTTGCATAAATTATGCAAATTAGGTCATCATTTGCATAATTAGTATCTGTTGATGTTCTCCCTGCCATAGATTACATACATTACATGTATGAAAGTAGTATAATGTAAAACACTGTAATTATAGAATTTCCTCATTAGTTATGCAAATAAAGTCCTCATTTGCATAATTTGCATTTAGTCATATACATCTCTCTCTCAGCTACCTACACACCAAAAATTATGAAAATATGTTGTTC